CGCGTGTATGTGCCAATAGAAGTCGGTCAGGGGTCTATAGGTCAGGGAGTCGGAAAGTGCTCCTTCCGAAGTTGCATGACCTTGAAGCAGTGGGCATTGAACAAGGAGGCCGGACAGCAGTGTTGGCTGTCCGCCACAAAACTACGCTTTTTGAGATTATGACTGGCCGGTTAGTTTCGTGCGTGCTTCGTGCTGTGTGTTTTTTTTGCCGTTAAGCCTTGACTCCGACCCCTTTTTAGTCCCCATAGCAGTAAGTAATGCTAATAGCCCCGCTTTTTCGCCATGTGAGGTGTAACTTGTTTTGTGTAGCCTTCGTGATGTTGTGTTTCCGGCTATTCAAGCAGGAAAAAACCTTTGCAGCAGCTATACACACATAAACAGGAGAGACTAGAGTTGCCGTTTTCGGCCCTTTACCCGTCGCCAGCCAGCCACACCCAATTCCAGGTCTGAATGGCTTAAATAGATTACAGATCGCTATGCCCGCAGCCTCATGGCAATGCGGGACAGGCAACCCAATCTCTTAGCGCCTGCTCACTATAGTTAACATTCTCGACCGCAGCCGAGAGGAAAATTGGGTCAGTGGCTCTATAATGCAGCATAACACTTAATAATAAGGTTCGTCAATCACTGGAATTGTGATTTCAGTCGTCTGAGCTTTCGAACTCTTACTGGAGTCCACCATCGGAGATAAAAGCGGCAACGAAAAATAATTAACAGATATAGGCGGCAGGGACCAATCTACTATCAATGACGTAAACCTGGAAATGGCTGCGCAAGGCTCTATATGCCGGCGCCAAATCGATAAACCGATTGACTGAGTTCTCATCCGAGGCGCAAGCTTCAATCGATTCTCGGCCTGTCTTGTTGCCGGCGTGGACGATTATCTTCGCAGCTGCGATAATGCGTCACCCCGTCGTACAGTCAGCTTATGTTCATGTATGCGCGAAACAAGCATACGTCCAGTCTGTTCTGCGTAATTTTGGAGACAGTTTCGTCATGGTATGCGATACAACACGCCCCACCGCTCACTGGGATTTAATCGATCCTTCATTCTCATGACCCGGCTGCGCATGGTGGCCTTGGGACCATCTGCAATTCCAGCGCCCGGTCCCGCAGCAATGGGCTTGGTCGCTTCTGAGACTTCCTTTATGTATGACAGCGCATGCCATACTGTGCGGGCTTGTTCTGTTTGAGTCCTCAGAGGACGAACACGTAGGCCTTCGAATACCCGCTCTGCATAAATTTGTTGCGGTTATATCAGGCTTGTGTGTTTTTCGTCCAGGTAGCTGCAGCGAATCTGGATTCTTTTG